AAAAATTGCTACTGCTCTTATAGCTATAGCAAACAATCAAACAGCTGATAAAAACAATATAGCAGAATTACAAAACATTGTTGAGAGCTGTTTTGCAAAATCCTTTTATTCTATTTTTTATTTGATCATTACAACCTGCAATATTTATAGGACAACAAATACATTTACATTGCAATTGAAAGACGTGACTCGCAATGCAACTTCTCTAAATCTGAATTGTTCCTGAAACACAGATTTTTAGTACTCAAATAAAAAATAACCTTGCTAGAAAACAAACCTTCATTAATGGTTGCATGGAAAAGTAATAAATAAAATATTGATGAAAATAGATAGGCTCCAGACTTTATTTTCTCCATGAAAATGCATCTCAATTGGAAATTGCTTCAGGAAGCCCATGTAAGCGCTCTCTGAGCGTCTAGTTTTTATTAAAATAACATCTTCAAAATGCTACTGAACAACAATAAAGCATCACTTCTCGTAAGATATCCTTAAGATCATAAGAAAAATATACACTTATTTCAAAAGACGTTGTCGGGGAGAACGGCGAACGGCGATTGTCGAAGGGAGAATGCACGACCGAAAGGGACTATGGTTACACTRTTTGACATACAAAAAAATCAATTGGTAGGTTTACTTGCGTGAAAAAGGAGACTAAATGGAACCAATGATKACCATAGGAAATCTTACGGTAAAAATTAGTCATTATTCCCCATCCATTAGCAAAACCCATGGCTCCTTTCGGCCGTGCAATCACCGTTTGACAATTGCCATTCGCCATTTTATCCGACAGCCTTTTTTGAAATAGGKATATGTTTAGAATCYGGAGTACGAATCATGGTACACAATCGCACATTTTAACGTTTGGTTATTGGTCAAGACCAATTTGTTAATCCATAATAACTCCATTGACTAGAACCTGGAATACAAGAGACTATGAACCGCAATCATACCTAGTATCCAGTAATTGAGATTATATAACTATCATGTTGTATTCTAAATTTAGCTTAAAGTCAAACAGCCTAAATGTACTATTATTTTTTCAATTARCACTGACAGATTAGTTTGGTTGTTTGTAGAATACTGCGATGAAGATTTAGAAAAAATTAATGCAGTATGTAGTATGTGATCAAGTGCTACGGTACGATTGAGCGATTGTATATGGTTGTGTGACTTTTTTCGCGACGAAAAATAAATGAATAAATTTCATACTTTAGGAACATAACAATGACTACTTCAAATAAGAGCAACAAACGTACAAAAGAATTAAATTCCATATATCATGATCAGTTTTTTCTACGTAAGGACCTTGCTTGTTTACAATCTATCAAAATAAACTAAATATTTGACTGTAATCGTGTGAGAAGATCTTTAGTTATTTAAAAGAAATATATAAAAAATAATACAATCTAAAACCTGTTATTGACAACGTTTTATCTCCTCATTAAGGATACTTCTGAGATTGATATATCTTGAGCAAACTTAGGCAATTTCACGAAAGGTTTCGATGTGTTTTGAATATGGGAATGTAGTCAATCGCTAAATAACAATTGATCGTCTTGCTGCTTATTCAACCAACTGGATATATTTACCGCGCTATGGAAATATCTGCAGACGACTATGGGGATATTCCCC